GAGCAGGAGCAGGAGCAGGAGCAGGAGCAGGAGCAGGAGCAGGAGCAGGAGCAGGAGCAGGAGCAGGAGCAGGAGCAGGAGGAGCAGGAGGTGCAGAGTCCCCAGACCCCCCGGCCCCGTTGCCTCTGGCCCGTGTCTCTAGGGGCCTTGCCGTGGCTTCCGTGGGGCCGCCTGGCAGGGGCACCCTAAGCGCTGCTTGGGGTGCGCCTGACCCGGGCGGGCCGCGGCCCCCCCTGGGCCGCCTTGCGGCCCTTGGCCTGGGCCCCCGTCCCTGGGCCCCGTCGCGCCTTCGGGGCCGACTTCAAAAGCGACCCAACGCTGCTGTGGTCACTTTTTGATTCGGCTTGCCCTTGGCCCGCCTGGCCCCGGCCTCGGCCTCGGCCCCTGGCCGCCCTGGCCCCGTCTTGCCCCTCCTGGCCCGGCCCCCGCCTCCGCGGCCGGGGCGCCCCGTCCCGGCCCCGGCCCCTCGCCCCGGGCCCGGTGCGCCGCCCTGCGCCTCTCCGTTCCGGGCCGAGTGCCCGCCGTGCAGCAACGCGCTCACCACAACGGGGCTGCCGGGGGCAGCCCTCGCGCGGCACTCCGCCAGCTACGTGCTGGGGGGGCCGCCCGAGGGACCCCTCCCCGAGGAAATGGAGGGCGGGCGCCCCCCGCATAGCGTCGGGCGTCACCCTCCACGCCCTCGGCTGCGGGGAGGGTCGCCGCGTGGCGGGCACTCGGAGGCCGTCCGCGTAGTGAACGGGCCGAGCCCGCCGGCCCGGCCGGCCGCGCGGTCCCCACGCTGCAGGCCGCGTCAAGCCGAGCGGAAGGAAGGAAGGAGGAGGAGGAGCAGCAGCAGGAGGAGGAGGAGGAGGCGGAGTTTGCAAAGCCCTGGTCAGCAGCGTCCTGGCTTGGGTGGCCCTGGGCTGGCGGTAGCAAACTACTCAGGCATCCTCCGGACTATAGTTTTCCCAGCCATCCTGTGTCGGGACCTCGGTTTGGAAGAGGCAGCGCCAGGTGGCTCCTTGGCTCCCGCTGCCCCCGCCCTCCTCCCATGCCTGCCTCTGCCCTCCGCACGTCAGCCAGTTCGGCACATCCCTCACACGTTGAATGGCCCCATAAGGAACTCCACCGAAGGCCCCAGTGGCCATGTTCGCATGTGATCGTCCCGCTCACTTTGGCACACCCCTCACGCGCTTCGTGGTCCCACAGGGAGCTTTTCCTAAGGCCCCAGCGGCCATGTTCTCGTGTGACCGCCCCACCCATTTCGGCACACCTCTCACACGTGCCGCGCCCTCATGGGCAGCTCCACCTAAAGCCCCAGTGGCCATTTTCGCAAGTTGCTGCCCCACCTATTTCGACACACCCTGATACGGTTCGTGGCCCCGTGGGCAGCTCCACCGGAGGCCCTAATTAATGCCAGGGCCCGCGTGCCACGTTTCGTGGTCCCATCGGGAGATCCGCTGAAGGCTCCAGTGACAGCGCCCGCATGGCGGCCCCGCTCCATGTCAGCACACCCTTCACGCGCTTTGTGGCACCATAGGGGGCTCCATCCAAAGCCCTGGCGCCAGCGCCGCATAGCCGCCCGCTCCACTTCGGCACACCGTTCACACGCTTGGTGGCCCCTATCAGGAGATCTTCCGAAGGCGATGCTCGCAACGACAGCGGCACTCGCAACTGCAAGTGGTTGGGTCCTTCGCCAGGCCAATGCCCATTCCGCGCCCCCAGATGCTCCGACCCCTTCCCCCAGGGGAAGTTTCTGGTCCGGGATCCATGCTTTATGTGGCCCCGGGGCCCGCTTGGCGGGCTCCCGAGGCCGAGGTCGAGGAAAAACGTTTGGATTGAAGCAATCATAGTGTGGCCCCTCGGGGTGTCATAGGTTTTGGTGGTCCAGGGCGCCCGGGGGCGGCGCCTGGCCCTACCACGCGCCGCCCGCGTCGAGGGGAGGCCGCGAGAGGCCGCAGCCCGGGGGTTCGGCTCGAGGCCGGCCCGGCGGCGCGCAGTGCTGACCGGGCGCGGCGCTGCGGGAGGGGCACTCTGCCCCGCCCCACCCCCTCACGTGCTCCGCGCGAGACTGGAAGCTCGTTTTTGGAGGGGAGTCCGTCGGGCATGGTTGGAGGAGGAGGAGGAGGAGGAGGAGGAGGAGGAGGAGGAGGAGGAGGAGGAGGAGGAGGAGGAGAGGAAGGAGGAGGAGTAGAGGTGGAGGAGGAGGAGGAGGAGGAGGAGGAGGGAGGGGAGGAGGAGGAGGAGGAGGAGGAGGGGAGGAGGAGGAGGAGGAGGAGGAGGAGGCGGTTGGTGCCCCACAAAAGGAGCTCCGCCGAAGGCCGCAGTGGCAGGGTTCGCATGCGGTTCCGCCCATCTCGGCGCACCCCTCACACGTTCCATGCCCCGCCGAAGGCCGCAGTGGCAGGGTTCGCATGCGGTTCCACCCCCATCTCGGCACGCCCCTCACAAGTTCCGTGCCCCGCATCGGGATCTCCGCCGAAGGCCGCAGTGGCATGGTTCGCATGCGGTTCCACCCATCTCGGCGCACCACTCACACGTTTCGTGCCCTCCTATAGAGAGCACCGCCGAAGGCCGCAGTGGCAGGGTTCGCATGCGAATCCGCCCCATCTCGGCACGCCCCTCACACGTTTCACGCTCCCTATAGGGAACTTCGCCGAAGGCCGCAGTGGCAGGGTTCACATGCGGTTCCATCCCCATCTCGGCGCACCGCTCACACGTTCCGTGCCCTCCCATAGGGAGCTCCGAAGGCCGCAGTGGCAGGATTTCGCATGCGCTTCCACTCCCATCTCGGCGCACCACTCACACGTTTCGGGCCTCCTATTGGGAAGTCCGCCGAAGGCCGCAATGGCAGGGTTCGCATGCGTTTCCCTCTCCATCTCGGCACACCCCTCACACGTTTCGTGCCTCCTATAAGGAGCTCTGGGGATGGCCGCAGTGGCAGGGTTCGCAGGCGGATCCTCCCCCATCCTGGCGCACCCTTCATACGTTTCGGGCCCGCTCCGCCGAAGGCCGCAATGGCAGGGTTCGCATGCGGTTCCCTCTCCATCTCGGCACACCCCTCATACGTTTCGTGCCTCATATAAGGAGCTCCGCCGAAGGCCGCAGTGGCAGGGTTCGCAGGCGAATCCTCCCCCATCTTGGCGCGCCCTTCATACGTTTCGTGCCCCTTCGAGGGATCTCCGCCGAAGGCCGCAATGGCAGGGTTCGCAGGCGAATCCTCCCCCATCCTGGCGCACCCTTCGCACTTTTCGTGCCCTCTACAGAGAGCTCCGCCGCAGGCCGCAGTGGCAGGGTTCACATGCGGATCCGCTCCCATCTCGGCGCGCCGCTCGCACGTTTCGTGACCCCCGAACGGAGCTCCGCCGAAGGCCGCAGTGGCAGGATTTCGCATTCGGTTCCACCCCCATCTCGGCGCACCCCTCATACGTTTCGTGCCCCCTAGAGGGATCTCCGCCGAAGGCCGCAGTGGCAGTGTTCGCATGCGGTTCCCTCTCCATCTCGGCACGCCCCTCACACGCTCCGTGCCTTCCACAAGGAGCTCCGAGTGGCAGGGCTCGCAGGCGGTTCTACCAGTGTTTCAGCGTACCCTTCATACGTTTCGTGCCCCCTAGAGGGATCTCTTCCGAAGGCCGCAATGGCAGGGTTCGCATGCGATTCCATCCGCGCACCCCTCACGCGTTGCGCCGAAGACGACATTCACAACGGCGGTACTTGCAACTGCATATGTATGGGTGATGACTGCATATGGTTGGGTCCTTTGCTGGGACGATTTTCTTGGGGGGGGGCCTTCCGATGCCTTTGGAGGGCTCCAGGGGTACCCCTGAGACGTCCGAGAGGAGGAGGATGAGGAGGAGGAGAACAGGAGGTCGATGTGGTGTTGTGGTGTGGAGAATGAGGAGGACGAGGCGGAGGAGGAGGAGGAGGAGGAGGAGGAGGAGGAGGAGGAGGGAGGAGGATGAAGGAGGAGAATGAGGAGGAGTATGAGAAGCACGAGGAGCGGAAGGACGATGATGATGGTGGAGGTGATGATGATGATGAGGATGACTAGGATGACGATGGCGATGATGAGGATTATGATGGTGGTGGTGATAATGACGACGACAAGGACGGCGACGACGACGATGATGCTGATGGTGATGATGATTATGATGGCGATGCTGCTGATTATGACGACGATGACGACGATGATGATGCTGATGTTGATGATGACGATGGTGATGGTGATGCTGATGATGAGGAGCATGATCACGACGATAACGATGCTGATGGTGATGATGATGATGCTGATGATGAGGATGGTGATGAAATACTGCTGTTGATGCTGATGATGATGCTGATGATGGTGATGATGACGACGATGATGATGCTGATGATGACGTTGCTGATGAAATTGATGATGGTGATGGTGACGATGCTGCTGATGATGATGGTGACGATGCTACTTGTGATTACGATGGTGATGGTGATGCTGATGATGAGGAGGAGGATGACAAGGCTGATGCTGATGATGCCGATGTTGTTGATGATGATGGTACTGATGATGTTGATGCTGATGATGATAATGCTGCTGATGATGATGATGCTGATGCTGATGCTGCTGATGCTGCTAATGATGATACTGCTGCTGACGATGACGACGACGATAACGATGGTGGTGGCTTTCGTGCTTGCGACAACGACGATAATACTGGTGATGCTGGGGATGGTGATTCGGATGACGATGGTGCTGCTGCAGATGATGACGAAGATGAAAAGAGCTCTGATGAGGAGGAGTTGAAGGGGGAGGGGAAGGATGATGAGGAGGAGAAGAAGGATGGCCTTGTATGTGGAAGAGGAACAGGACTAGCACTGGGAAAGGGCACCGCAGGGGCGTCATTGCGTGCGTATGTTTCACCGTGCGGCTTCTTGATGGACCTTCGCTGCCGAGGAGTGGAGGGCAGGTGCGTGCTTGGAGGACAAGCTGCGCCGAGCGGCATCGGCGGGCTTCTGGAGAGATCGTTGAGCACAGCGAGCCCTCCACGAACCCAGTTCAATTTTTTGTCCGTGCTCGTCCTTGGGTGCACTGCGCTCTTGCTGGTCTCGTGAGGCACAGCTGGGACAGGCGACGCTCCAGGTGCACGCCGGATGCTTCTATCACAGCTGAAAAAGATGTTTGCGCCTCAACATCACTGATTTCCCATCGAGTTCGCAAGGATCGTCGCTTATTCTGGCCTTCGACAGCCGGAGGACGGCCCATATGGCATCCAATAGAGCCCCAAGACGGCCCCAGAGGCACCCACGAGGGCTTCAAGACAGGCCGAGAGGGCCCCAATACAGCCCCAGACACCTCCATGGCGGCTCTCCAGCGCCCTCACAGGCACTTTGTGTTTACCCCAAGCGACAGGCCTCGGACAAAACTAGCGAACACGCAGGCCACGTTCATCGGTCAACGCCTCCCCCTCCCCCCAGTGTTCAAAGTTGGCGGTGGGTCTGATGAGTTCCGCTTCGACCGCAGTCTCCCCCGCGCGTGCCGACTCTGAGTTTTGGGGAGCGGGGGAGTGTCCACTTTCAAGCCTTTCGAGCGCGGCCCAGTGTCGCTCACGCGACGCGGCCGATGTGGGAGTGTCCACTAATTGTCTCCCCCTGCCGTGTCATGATGCCTCCCCCGATTGCATGGTCCCTCTTTATTTGCAGCGCATTCTTTCCCCTCTCGCGCCTGGGCCGCGCACGTGCTTCGGGCCATGCTTCGCGACCCCCCCCCCTCTCTTGGACGCCCCCGAGATCTGACCCGCAGCCCAGCGCCTTGCACGCAACAACTCGGAGTCTGGCGGTCCGAAGGTGGCCCTATCGAGGATGGGCGCTCCTCTCGTAGTCGTAATATCCCCGAGTTTGGCCCCCAATGTTCTGGTCCCCGGGTCAGGGGATTGGGGTCACCATGCCTCTCGTGAAGGACGACTTCCAAGACTGCCCATGCAGGGCCACCGGGACCGACTTCAAGAGGCCCCAAGTCACGCCAAAGGCCTTCTCCAACAGGCATCGACAGGGCGCAACTATTGAACTTCAAGGCGGCGTTCTAATCGGGCGGGTGGTAATGGGGGGTGACCCCAACAGGGGGTGAAGAAAAGGACCCAACCGGGGCACTTTAGCGCCCCTTTGGGGCGCCTGCTGGTTCTAAAAGGGGCCCTACAGTGCCCCTTTAGGGCCCTTCTCTTCACACCCCATTTGGGCCACCCCCCCACTGCCACCCGCCCGACCTTTTCTCTTTCCGCGCTCTTCGGTCTAATATCGGCAGTCTTGCAGTTTTCGAAAGTCCACACGGCCGCCCAGATGGCCCAGTGCGGCTCCAAGAGAGCTCCAAAGTGGCCCAAGAGGGCATCTGGAGGGACCTAAGGCGGCCCAAGGCGGCTGGCCCCACGACGGCCCTAATAGATCCCCCCGGGCGGCCAAGAGAACCCCAAGACGGCCCAATAGGGCCCGAAGGTAGCCCAAGAGGGCCCCAAGATGGTCCGATAGGGCCCCAGGGGAGCCCCAAGACTGTCCCACAGGAGCCCAAGACGGCGCTAATAAGCCCGCGAGGGCAGTCAGGCTGCAGCGCTGCAGGGTCGAGGATGAAGGATGAAAGCTTTCTGCTGACATCTGACTCTTCTTCCCAATCCTGCTTTGGTTGGGCACTCGTCTTGAATGGAGCACTGCTGCTCCTCTCCCGTCCTCTCCCGCTCCCCTCTCCTCCCACATTCCGTTTCCTGCCTTGCCTCCCAGGGCGCTGCCAATTGCCGAAAACTGTGTAGCTGTCGCCACCTTCGTGAGCTCTCCGGGGGTCAGCGTACAGCGGAGAGCGGTGCTACCGAGACGGGACCTCGGCCTCCTTTGGTGCTGCCAATTGCGCAGCGGTCGTCACTTCGTGAGCTCCCGGGGGTTCCAGCGGAGTGCGGGGCTACGTAGCTCCAAACCGGGGCCTCGCCTTCCCTGGGCGCGACCAGCTGCGCAATTCTCGCCTCTTCCGTGAGCTGCGGGGATCTCCAGCGGAGCGCGGTGCTACGGGGACCCAAACAGGATCTCGCCCTCCTGGGAGCTGCCTCCTGTGCAATGCTCAATACGCGCGTAAGTTCCTGGGAGGTCCAGCTGAGTGAGGGGCTGTTCAGAACCAAGCTTGACCTCGCCCTCCTGGGGTGCTCTCAACTGCGCAACGGTCGCCACATTCGTGAGCTCCTGGGGTGTCTAAGGAAGTGAGGGGTTGCTCAGATCCTGGCGGGACCTCGCCCTCCCTAGGCGCTGCTAACTTTGCAATTGCCGCTGCTTCTGAGTCTTGAGGAGTGACGTCTTGCAGGAGCCCAAGCGGGACCTTGCCTTACCTGTTGCCCGCTGCACCATTTCCGCGATGCCTTTCGCGGGTCAATTCAATTCAAGATAGGCCTTCCTGGGCGCTTCCACCTGCGCATCTGCCGGCATTTTCGTGAGCTTCTGTGAGGTCCAGCTGCTTTCTGTTGTTTGTGGGTCGCACTGGCCCTCTCCCGTCGTGGCGCTGCCACCTCGGCATGTGCCGGCACTTTCTTGTGAGCCCCTGGGAGGGCCAGCGGGGTGACGTCTTCTGCGGATCAAGCTAGACCAGCCCTCTCCTGCCGTGGCGCTGCCACCCGCGCATCTGCCGCCACTTTTGTGAGCTCCTGGGGGGTCCCAGCGGGGTGACGTCTTCTGCGGATCGGGCAAGGTCACCCCTCCCCCGGCGCAGCCACCCGCGCGAGTGCCGCCACCTCTCGTGAGCTCCTGGAAGGTCCAGCGGGTTGACGTCTTCTTCTGATCAAGCTACGGTTTGGCCGAGGTAACTAGGACCGAGGTCGGTTCGGGGAGGCTACCCTGGTGTTCTTCGTGTTCGTTGGATATTCTTGTGCATCCTGGGGAGGGTACCCTTGGATGTTCTGTGTGCTTTGGCCGACGGAGGGTCTCATGTTCTTGAGGGATGTTCTTTTGGTCTAGGTTCGACTGTAGACCACACCTCGCTGAGCGCTGCGAGCCGTGCAACTGTCGCCACTTTCGAGGGCTCCTGAGAAGTTCAGCGCTGTGACGTCTTACGCCCGCAGCTCCTGTTCCTGCGGTGTCGCCTCAGAGAGGCTTCTCGGGGGCGCGCATCGCATGTGTTCCTCATGTAGCTCGCAGGAGGGACACCGCGTCCTCTCACATGTTCGTCCGTCTTGCACGAGCCCGCTCAGCTTGTCACCTGTTGCAGATGTATTGGGCACGTCCCTGGATAAGTCCGATTCTGGGGGCCTCCTCCCGAGACCTCCGGGGAACTCTGCGGGCCTCCGGAGACCGTCGGAGACCCGATGGGGACCCACAGGGCGGTCCGTGGCCGGGCCTTGGGCCTCCTTCTGGGGTGTGTGGGGGGGGGGCTCGCTGTGCACAGGCATGCTTACCTGCAGGAGTCCAGGCTCAATCCATAGAGAACATGTCCACTGCCCCACCCCCTCCCTCGATTCTGCCCTTGCAATCATCAGACAGTCCGCATGGCTTTCTCTGTATCCGCATGGCTTCCTCTGCTGTCCGCATGGCTTCCTCTGTTTCCAGATGGCTCTCTCTGCCATTCCAATGGCTTCCTGTGGCTATTCTAATAGCGTTCCCAACAGCGTCCAACAATCGTCAAACTCAGAAGTAGAGTAAAGTAGAGTATAATCAAGCAGAAAAAGTATGACAGATAAGATAACACGAGCAGGGTAAAGCAGAACAGAGTGGAGTAGAGCAGAGCAGAGTAGAGTAGAGTATAGTAGAGGGGAGTAGAGCAGAGTAGAGTAGGAGTAACTTAGGTCAGGGTACGGTAGAGTAGGGTAGGGAATTCCGGAATCCACAATCACATGGGGGTGGTCTGCTTTTGTAGGGTATTTGGTCTAAGCTGTCTTGGAGGGTTTCGGGGGGTCTTGTCAGACGGCCGCCATGTCATGGTTTTTGCAGGGAGGTGTAGAACTGCCCGTTTGGGAGGGTTGCGATCCCCTCCCTTTTACCACGAAGTCTGCAGTAGTAGAGCAGGGTCGAGTAGAGTGGGGTAGGCGGTAGAGTAGAGTCGGGTAGAACAGCGTAGAGTAGAGTAATGTACAGCAGGATTGGGTACAGTAGACTAGAGAGGATCATGTACTAGGGTCGAATTGAGTAGGAGAAGGAGTACAGTAGAGTAGGAGTAGGTGTAGGAGTCGAGTAGAGTAGAGTAAAGCAGAGTAGAGAACGTTAGAGTAGAGCAGGGTCGGGTAGTGTGTGGTAGAGTCGATTAGGGTTCAATTGGAGTAGATTAGAGTAGGGTAGATGGTAGGGTTGAGTCGGGTATAATCGAGTAGACTAGATTAGAGTGGAGCAGAGGCCAACCGAGTCCAGTGAAGTCTACTCCAGCCCAGTCTACCTCCTTGCACTCCAGTTTACCTCATGTAAGCCGTCTGATCTCATTGGAGCCTGAGCTGGCTGATACTTTTTCTGTCTGCGCGGTGGTCAATAGCCTCGGCTCAAGCGGAGCAGGCACAAAGAGCTAGTCATCTGCTCTTCTGCGGAATCCAGCAAGTTATCAAGGGGCCTGCGGCAAGTCCGCCGACGTGCCACGGGTCAGGAGGCGGGAGGGGGGTGGGGCTTGTGGGGGCAGGTGTGGTGTGAGTGTGTGTGTGTGTGTGTGTGTGCGTGCGTGCGTGCGTGCGTGCGTGCGTGCGTGCGTGTGTGTGTGTGTGTGTGTGTGTGTGTGTGTGTGTGTGTGCGTGTGTGTGTGTGTGTGTGTGTGTGTGTGTACGTGTGCGTGTGTGTGCGCGCGCGCGTGTGTGTGTGTGTGTGTGTGAATGTGTGTGCGTGTGCGTGTGCGTGTGCGTGTGTGTGTGTGTGTGTGCATGCGGCGAAGTGTGACAAGTGGTTGGGGGGGCTTTCAGACCTTTTAGAAAATCAGAAAATTTGCGGAAACAGCACAAGCAAGTTTGCAGGCAGTAGAATACGCCACTGCCGTGTAGGCACGGCGGATATGCGAACATTCCCCATGTCTTCCAGGACTTCGTGTTGCTGGCGATCTCGGGGCGGGCGTCTGTTGCTGAACGGTCCAGGTTGACTTCAGCTCATGGTGGGGTGGTTGCCGTCGCAGTGGACCACCGCCACCAGCAGCAGTCCTGGGCCCGCAGCCGTGAAGACTTGCTGCCGCTCGCAGACGATATCGCAACCCAGCGCAATGTGCAGAACACTGGATCACGTCCCACCTCGTTGCTGCAAGTCCAGAGTTTTTCTGGCCACACCTCCATATACGGATTTGGTCGGCACTGGCGCAATGTGACTGGTCTGAGGCCTCTGCATGCAGAACCGGCAGCCAGCAGGGCGGCCGCGCAGGCCATCGGGAAGGGAGGCCGCGATACCGTGCTCGAGGCCATGGGCGAGCTGAGGGCTATGCTGCAAGACGCGGATGCGGGGGTCCGCCGTGAGGCTACAGATGCCATCAGGGAGGGCGGCGGCCAGGCCGTGCTCCAGGCCTTAGGTGAGCTGAAGGTCATGCTACGCGATGTGAATGCAACGGTCCGCAAGGCAGCTGCACACGCCATTCAGAAAGGCGGCGGCCAGGCCGTGCTACAAGCCTTGGGCGAGCTGAAGGTTGCTCTACAAGATGCGGAAAAGGATGTCCGCGTGAAGGCCGCAGCGGCAATCAAGGCGGGCGGCCCCAAGGCCGTGATCCAGGTCATAGGGGAGCTGGCAATGCTGCTACAGGACGAGGATGGAATGGTCAGAAAGCAGGCCGCATCTGCCATCAGGAAGGGCGGCGGCGAGGCTGTGCTCCAGGTCATGGGCAAGCTGAAGGCTCATCTACAAGACGTGGATGCGGGGGTCCGCGCGCGGGCCGCAAGGTGTATCAGGGTGATCGGCCGAAGCGCCGTGCTACAAGCCGTGGGCGAGCTGAAGACCATGTTGTCAGACACGGATGCCGACGTTCGCCAGACGGCCGCGAAGACCATCGGGAAGGGCGGCAGCGAGGCCGTGATCCAGGTCATGGGGGACCTGAAGGCTGCTCTAGACGGCGCGGATGCGGAGGTCCGCGCGCGGGCCGCAGAGACCATCGGGCAGGTTGGTAGCTATGCCGTGCTACAAGCCGTGGGCGAGCTGAAGACCATGCTGTCAGACACGGATGCCGACGTTCGCCAGACGGCCGCGGAGGCCATCGGGAAGGGCGGCAGCGAGGCCGTGCTACAAGTCGTGGGCGAGCTGAAGGCCTTGTTGCCAGACGCGGATGTAGGGGTTCGTAGGAATGCTGCAGGGGCCATCGGGGAGGGCGGCAGCAATGCCGTGCTCCAGGCCATGGTCGAGCTGAGGTATCATCTGCATGACGTGGATGCGGGGGTCCGCGAGAAGGCCGTCCGGGCTATCCAGGAGGGCGGCCCCAAGGCCGAGCTTCAGGCCTTCGACGAGCTGAAATCCATGATGCTACGTGACGTGAATGCGACGGTCCGCGTGGCAGCCGCAGAGGCCACAACATCTGCCATCTTGGAGAACGGCAGCGCGGCCGTGCTCACGGCCATTGGCGAGCTGAAGACCGCTTTATCAGACACGGATGCGGAGGTGCGCGTTTATGCCGTAACGGCTGTCCGCGAGGGTGACAGCGAGGTCGTGCTCCAGGCCGCGGACGAGCTGAAGGTTGCTCTGCGAGATGCGGATGCGAGGGTCCGCGGGGGGTCTGCACTGGCCATCAAGAAAGCAGGCGTCGTGGCCGTGCTCAATGCCATGGGCAATCTGACTGTATTGCTAAAAGACGCGGTCCCGTCTGTCCGAGAGGGGGCCGTAGTGGCCATCGGGCGGGGCGGCAAGGCCGTGCTCAATGTCGTGCCCGAGCTGAAGGGGTTGCTGCGAGACTCGGATGCGGGGGTACGTGGAGGTGCCGCGTGGGCCGTCGGGCAGGGCGGCTGTAAGGCCGTGCTCCAGGCAGTGAGCGAGCTGAAAGCTCTGCTGCGCGAGCCGAGCCCGTATATCCGCGAGAGGGCCGCATTTGCCATCAGCCAGGGCTGTCCCGAGGTCATCCTCCAGGCCGTGGACGATCTGAAGGCCGCCCTGCACGACGCGGAGCCGAAGGTCCGAACGGGCGCCTTCTGTGGACGCTGCGAAGGGGGGGGGAGGGTCCAAGTGGGGGAGGCGCCCCCACTTTGGGAGGAGGAGGAGGAGGAGGAGGAGGAGGAGGAGGAGGAGAAGGAGAAGGAGGAGGAGGAGGAGGAGGAGGAGGGGGCCACGTGCGCTCCTCCTCCAACGGCGGCTCTCCCCACCCACCTTCCCCAAGGTTGCTGCTCCCGGGTTTGGGAGGGACTCCTGCGGGATTCTGAAGGGATTCCTCGGGGACTCTCTTGCAGATTCCTGGGTGATGCTGGAGGGATGCCTGGGGGACTCTCTGCGGGTTCCTAGAAGGCTTCATGAGGGAGTCCGGAGGGATTCTTGTGCATTCTTGGGGGGAACTGTTGCGAATTTCTGAGGATTCCAGGAGGATTCCTCAGGGACTCTTGCGGGTCCCTGAGGACTCCTGAATTTATCTCGAGGGCTCCCAAAGGATTTTTGCAGGTTTCTGGAGGATTCTTAGGGATCCCGAAAGTATCCGTGAAAATTCTTGAAGAAGTCAGGGTGCAACAGGGATTCCTATTCGATTTTCGAGCGATTTTTTACGGATCCCTGCGGGATCCCGCAGGGGCTTTGGAGGGACTCCTGCGGCATTCTGAAGGGATTCCGGAGGGACTCTTGCGGCTTCCTGGGGGATTGTAGGGTGGATTCCTGAGGGACATTTGAGGATCCCCGAGGATTCCTGAAGGGTTCCGGAGGGATTCTTGCGGATTCTTGAGGGACTCTTGCGTTCGTCATTCCTCATGCGTTCTCCGTCGAGGTCGCTGTCAGTCGTCAGTCGTCCGTCGTCACTGGTCCATCGTCGTCGTGTTCTTTCTTACGTACTCGGTGCCGCCCGTGGGGAATGAGAGGATAGGGAAGTGGAGGAGGAGGGTGATGAGGAGGAGGCGGAGGAGGAAGAGGAGGATGAGGAGGAGGATGAGGAGGAGGGGGAGGGGGACAATCTGGAGGAAGAGGAGGAGATGATGCTGCTGCTGATGATGATGATGATGACGATGATGATGCTGACGATGATGATGGTAAGCGTGATGATGAGGATGATGGTGATGATGGGTAAGATGATGATAATGCTGATGTTGTTGGAGATAGTGGTGATGATGTTGATGGTGTCGTTGATGGTGCTGATGTTGGTGATGATGCTGATGCTGCTGATAAGGATGATCACGAGGAAGGTGATGCTGGGGCGAAGGACGGTGTTGATGACGATTGGGGTAAGGGGGGCGAAGCGGGGCATGAGGGGAGGATGGGGATGATGACTAAGGCGAGGAGGGGGAGGAGGAGGAGAAGAAGGAGAGGTCGGAGGACATTGAATGGCAAACAGGAGGAGGAGAAGCAGATGGAGGATAGAGCATGAGGATGAGGCTGGTGATGTTTGTGATTCTGGTTTTAGGTGGAGAGGGTGATGATGATACTGGTGGTGAAGGTGATGGTGATGATGATCATGCTGGTGATGGCGATGTGGTGGTGATGATGATGATCACGGGGATGATGATGATGATGATGATGATGATGATGATGATGATGATGATGATGATGATGATGATGATGATGATGATGGTGATGGTGATGATGATGCTGGTGATGATGCTGATAATAATAACGATGATGCTGATGATTTGGATGGTGAGGATGATGAGGATAAGGATTATGATGGTGCTGATGATGCTGATGACGATTCTGATGCTGATTGCGAACGGTCGGTGATCGGACAGGTCGCGACAGGTTTTCCAGATTCCCATCGGGAAACTTTAGGGAAACCACTGCATCCAGAAACGCTCTTATGATTAGTCCCTTGATCATACAGATTATGTATTCATCCTGGGAGACAACATGCGTGCCTGGGACGGAGTCGGTATTTGTTTATTTCCTGGCCTTGTTTGCGATGCAAATAAACAAGTGGTCGCATTGTTGTACTGGAGTTTTACGGCTGGCGCTGGGGACCTGGCTGCGTTCGTACGGCATTTGGCATTGCGTGGTTGTCGCGTGAGGACTGCGAGAATTCTACCAGGAGCAGTACAACTGTCAACACGAAGTGCGGGTACCCATCCCAAATCCGGAAAACCATGAACGATAATCACATTGTGCTCATATAAGCACTTCATATGCCAAGTGGAACCTGACAGCAAGCTTCATGCGCGCAAGTGGCGTCAACGAGCTGTCACCAGCATCTAGCAACCTCCTCTAATAGTTCAATTGTATTTCTAGGATAAACGAAGGAGAACGCAATAAGAAACTCGCTCTTCCGAGCCTCCCGCAGAATTCTGTAATACCCCACGCGTGTACAATTTGGAATGTAATTGGACACGCGACGAGCACAGCCTTCCGCCGATATATTGAATATTGTAGGTGCTGCCAATCCGACTTCAGTAGGACATGTGTTGACCACGGTCTCCCGCTGAATGCTCTTACATAGCATGCGTTTGTTTCGACATCCATTCAGTTGCGAAGTGGGGGCCGAATCGCTTGGTTGCGGCAGGAAGGGAGGCGGGGGCCGAACGAATCGGCGGCGGCGGCGGAGGACACGGCGATTCTTTCGGCAACCCTTTCCCTCCCCATGGGCTCGGGGTTTCCATTGGGTTTGGAAAATCCTTCGCCTGCAGGGAAGGAAGCGGGGACCGAACGATTCGGCGGCGGCAGTGGGGGGCAAATTGACCCGTTCGGCCCCCTTCTCCCCCCCAGGAGTTCGCACCCCCCCCCGAGCTTCCGAGCGCACGAGGCGCTCCCATTCAAACCATCGGGGGCTTGGAGAAACCCGTGCCGCAGGAAGGGGCGCCGAGGCCGAACGATTCGGCGGCGGCGGCAGGAGGCATGGTGACTCGTTCGGCCTGCCCTCCCCCCGCATTGGTTCGGATTCGATTGCCTCCCCCCCCCGGGACGCCGAGGGCACGGAACGCTTCCGCTGGAAGCGCCGCCCTCGGGTTTTCGGGGAATCCCGCGCCCGCAATAGAAAAAAACAAAACATGTGGGACCGAACGATTCGGCGGCGGCAGCGGGGGGCAAATTGACCCGTTCGGCCCCCTTCTCACCCCCCATGGGGTCGGGGGTTTCTTCTTCTCGACCTCCTCCCTTCTTCCTCCTCCTCCTCCTCCTCCCCCTTCTCCTCTTCCGTGTCCTCTTCCCCTTCCTGATGCCCCGTAGCCGTTTTGGCTCAAGTACGAAACCGTGGCCCTGCGGCTCCGTGCTTGCCTGCAGCCGAGGGGCTGGCTCGAGGCGAGCTGCCCCACAGCAGGCGTCTGTCTCTCGCACCGCCGCGGCAAGCCCCCCGCTGCCGTGGCCTGTCTTTCTGTGTTGGTCGTCTGACGACCATGCGTTTCCCGTGCGCCTCGCGATGTCTTGGAAGAAGAAGCCCATCTCCTATGTTTGCTGCCCCAACCCGAGCTGCCCAGGTTGGACCTGGGCCAGCCGCCGCAAACCCTACTGCGGCTTGTGCGGCGCGCCGCAGCCAGGTACCGTGCCGCCGGCTGGACCCAGCGGCAAAGGGAAAGGGGAGGGCAAGGGGCATGGGCATGAAGGTGGAGGAGGTTCGTCTGGAGGAGTCGAATCAGCAGGCGGTCCGAAGCCCCCTTGGCATAAGGATGCGATTCCCTCGGTGCCGCCCCAGAGTGCCGATCCGTCTTCCCAAGACCTCTTGATGGCGCAGCATCTTGTCAAGTTCTACAAGGGTTGGGGAGTGGAGCCCACCGATCCCAGGCTGGTCTCGGCCCACGAAGCAGTCAAGGCTGCGAAGGAGAAGGTGTTCCAGAATCGCTCCCCTGCGCAGAAGGCTCAGAGTCTCGCGGCCCAGACTCAGCATCAGAAGTCCCTCATCACCTCTGCCACGGAAGCTCCTGCGGAGTTGGAATCCTAGGCTGCGTGCATGGTCAGGACGTATGAAGAGGCGACGGCGCAGATTCGTGATTCGAAAGCCCAGCTGGAGTGTCTCAACGCCCAGCTTGCTTGCCTGCGTCCCGAGCCCTCCTCGTGTGAGCCTCCTGAGCCAGAGCCCGAAAGTGTGGTCCACTGGGTCCAGGGCCTGAAGGGAGCTTTGATCAAAGAGTGTGCCTGTCTCTCTTCTGAAGGAAAAACAGTTGGAGGATGGTTTCTCGGCTTTGGAAGGCATGTTGGCTAAGATGAAGGACCAGATGGAACTTGATGCGCACGCCAGGAAGCTGGAGGGAGCCATACAGAAGCCCTTGGTAGGACTGGAGAATATGTTCACTCAGAAGAACCTGCAGGGGCCCTCGGAGGAGAAGCAGCAGCTGCCAGCAGAAGAGGAGGAGCCGTATGAGGTATTGGACGAAGGAATGGAACCTCGAGGTGAGAAGCGCCTAGGTGAAGACCTCGGCAGCCTCCAGGAGCAAATGGAAGCCCTTCGTCAAGAGCGCCCAGAGATTCACGGTCAGGTGTGGACCCTCGTGGAGAGTAAGTCTGGGAAAACTACCAAGAAAGGAAAGGGTGCCCAGCAAAGCTCAGGAGTGCAGAATCTCAGTCTGAAATCTCCAGGCGCTGCGTCGTCGTCGTCAGCAGGACCCCAGGGCAGAGGGAAGGTGGGGGAGGGGGGGGGGGGGGGGCAGCCACTGCCGCCGCCCCGCCCAGCCAGAAGCCGCCCCAGCATTCAGAGGGGGAGGGGGGGGGGGGGGGGGGTCCTGAGGATGCTGAGTTTTGACAAAATTCGGGCCAAGGGTGGGCCCTGCAAATAACAACCCTGAACACGAATTCTGGTAACTTTTAATTCCCTGGGGCTTCGATTCTTCTCCTGCAGGCAACCTTGTTAAAGGGTGGGGAAGCCATGCGGCCTGCCAAGACATAGTGTTCTGCTCGTGGCTGGCTTGGTTATTTCTCTTTGGCTGCAGTCCTCGAATCTGGAGTGGCTTCAGGAGGCGTGGCTATCCTGTTAAGGGCTGGGCAGGATCTTGGAGCTAGTCCTGTACCTGTAAGCTTTTTGATGCAGCGCCGCATCCGTGTCCTGAAGACTGACATCCCTGGGCCCCCCAAGTTTTGTCTCGTCTCCTTGTGCG